TTGTCCCCACATATACTTGTTTGCATACGTGGGACCCGTCGCCATTAGATGGAATACTGTATACTACATCAGATTTCTCATGCTTGGGAATTTTGTCACAAAAAACACTCATGGGGCTTTTCTATTTGCAATTATTAATAAAATATCACAAAAATCGGAAAATGTTATATACTATTTTCGATTTAATTTCATGTTAATTGTACAAATTATTGAAAAAAAATTTAATTATTTTTACTTGGGTTTTTTTTGAAAATTTTCCCAAAATATCACAAAAATCATCAATATTCATATTTAATTAACATTCCAAAACGCTCTCGTGAGATTTAGCTCTGTCAATATTCTTCTTTTCTGCTTTGTATTTTGCTTTCGCTGTTAAGTATTCCAAATATTTGTCGCTCTTAAAATGCGCTTCGCTTGTTCAGTTGGCTCGAAAAATGTGGTATTCACAGTTCTTGGACCTTCTCTATAAATATACGTTCTCTGAGCAAATCAATAAAATTCAAAATAAATGTAGAAAAAGAAGGAAAACTACCTTTTCTGGACACCCTAGTGATAAGAAAAAACAACGAAATTACTATAGACTGGTACAAAAACCCAACTGCTTCGGGCAGACTTGTAAATTTCAATTCTAAGCAGGAACGAAGAATAATTGTAAACATTGCCAACAATTTCGTGAGACGAGTTCTCTCTATCAGCGACAGAATATATCATAATAAAAATATTTGTAGTATTAAAAAAACTCTGGAGGACAATGATTTTCCGGGGAAATTAATTAAAAAGCTTATTCGCAAGAACTATGTTCGTCCGAACGAAGAATAGGAAAATGATGATTCAAATAAGAAAATTTACAAAACAGCAACTTATGTCCCAGGGTTATCAGAGAGAATCAAATTTTCCAATCCTAATGATAAAGAGAACGTCCAATTAGTGTTTACACACGCCAATACTCTGAGAAGTATATTTAGCAACACGAAAGACAAAATTCCCAAGCATGAGAAATCTGATGTAGTATACAGTATTCCATGTAATGGCGACGGGTGGCACGTATTTAAACAAGTATATGTGGGGACAACCAAATCAAAACTTAAGACAAGGATTTACGCTCACATATCGAACGTAAAATTAAGGAATACTTACTCAGACAACAAGACGGCCTTGTCATCCCACTGTAAAGACACGGGACATTACCCCGATTTTGATAATATGAGTGTCTTAGAAGAGAAAAATTACCACAAACGCTTTATATTAGAAATGCTCCACATAGTGAACACCCTTAATGATAAAAGGCTGAATTTCAAAACAGACACTGAAAACTGTGCACACGTCTACCGCAACATAATATTAAGGCAAAACAAATAAGCTTAATAATTAGTGTACCAGGCGAACAGTGTAAGATTTGACCCATCTAGCTGCTTTTAATTCTGTAATTCGAAAACTATT